CGAGTAAACACACTGTGATGATATAATGTGTATCACAAGATGATGAAGAAGTCTGCACAGCCATGACCCTGCATACAGAAAAGACACGTGTCGGAACATTTTTGTTCTAGTAAGGGTCACAATGTCATTTGCACACTACGACACAACGCAACAAACACTGTCTTTGTGGAGCCAAAAGACTCATTTCTGAGATCGTTGTTTTGTGGCGTCGTTGAATTGGATTGGTATATATTGTAAAGTCAAAACATCAACATCATACTCTGAGTGTTTATTCTTTGTGGCAATAAAAGGCAGTCTCCCTTTAAGAATTACCTGTGTTTCCAAACACTACGGGAGCTGACTATCTGACATTTCCCCCATGAAAAAAGGATACAACACCAATATGTTCCAGCCAGGTAAGGTTCCCAGACGTGAAATACTTAATCACCAGCAGGGAGACGTATTACCCTGGTAACATCACGGTGGAAACTCTCAGGTGTCCTGGTCTCCAAAGGAATCTGTACCTTTGAAAAATGGAGCCTTGAAAGTATTCATTAGAAAATGAGGACCTCGAGGATCATTCATCTGCGGATCTTGCTGTTGTTGGGGAAAATACTAATTTTTATAGTCAAGCATCGAGATTACCCTGCTAATGCTAGTTTTATTTAAAAGGAAAAGAAGTGGGCCAGAAAAAAAACATAAAGAATACTTTTTACCTCAAAAGAACCATTTCTAAAGAAAAGCCAAACAATTTCAGTCAAGCTCTGTGAAGGCTTCTTGCTGAGTCTCAGCTTTAGGATCCATTAATGGACATACTGTATGTCTAGCTTCAGTGTGGAGAAACCACTCAGCACCCGCTGTAGGAAAAAGAAACGCTGATCAATAAGTGCTGTGTGCGGTTCAATAAATGCATTGATCATCACACAAACACATCACAACCGTAGCGGGAATGAGAGTGCTGGGGCAAGGTCAATACCTCTCAACCCGACCAAATGTAAGTCTGCTCGGGCTTTTTTTTTGCTTGCCCTCTAAAACGGGATCAGTCATGTACAGCAACTGAATACACATTGACATTGAACGTTCAACATGTGAGACGTGTCTGCTGTCACTTTATTTTTCTCAAATTAGGATGATTATATTCCATGATTATGGCAGATTGTCAAGACATGCAGAGTGAAAGAATGTTATCAATCACACACATTTCACAAGACAGTCAAGTGACATTATGAATTACTGTTAACTCAAATCATGACTTGCACACGATAGATGAGGGTAAGAATGCTGGGACTTTTTATTAGAGGTTAGGGCTCTTCAATACACAGTTCTCTTCAAACCACAGCTGTCCAGCCCAACGAGAGTCAGCGACAACAAATAGAGCCATCGTCTGTTGAACTGTCTATTTACCAGTATTCCTGAGTGAAGTCCAGGTTAATAAGATTGAGACTGTATTCTATCATCAAACAGCTTGAACAGTAGTACATATAGCTGTCGTTAACGGGAAGAAAGATGTCCACGGACCCCCTTAGGTTTGGGCTGAGCCCTGAGCCCTGAATGTGTCCAACATCTGTCTCCGTCCCTGGTCTTTATGTCTTTAAAGTGGCTATAATCAATATGCTTAGATTAACTATGTATCACATGACTACTTGTCTATGAAAGGTGTTGCTTACAGTGATAACCTGGCAGATAATTATTACCCAAACCAACAGCCCCCCCGTCTCTACAGCGTTTTGTAGCAACTCTCAGTCACTAAATATGCCACTGCCTGGACACGGTTAGCTTAGCTTAGCATAAAGGCTGCTCCCTGTTTTTAGGTGACATATTAAGTGTATCCAGGATTTTTTTATTCCAATCATTTTTACAATTTCAAAAAAGTCTTTGTGTGTTTTATTGTGTCCTCTGTGATGCTTTTGGCAAAATATCCAACAGCTGATGTATGACTACAAAACAAAAACAAAGCATGATAAATATCCCTAAAGTCTGCTTGAGAAACAAGGACGCATCAGACGGCAATTTGACTAGCAAACGGGAAAAGCCTCAAAAGACTCTGCATGATTGAGGTATTAGGTTTACTAAACAGAACTGTCTGAAAATGGAAACAACACAGTCCACCTCAAAGTGTAAAGCTTTTTCATTTCTTTGGAGGTTTGCGCTCATTAACACAAGAGAAGTCCCCCCACAAGCTCTGAGTTGTGTTCCTGGATTCGACACTCACCTTTTATCTGCACAAATCTGCCAAAAAGGATTGTCCCCTTGAGCTACGGTGGCTTGTGAGTGACACATGCGGTTATTACATTTCAGGAGAATTCAAGCTAATTACAGCATACAACCAAAGAAACATTCATTGCCTCCGTAACTGAAATGCCTTTGTTGAGTCTTTGATTCCCCACAGATAAGTTCCACAATGTTTTTGCCACAGGGCAGGAATAAAAAAAATGAAAAAAGCCATTTCCACAAAGCCCATTACAGGGGGAGATAATCCAGTGGCAGTGCAGGGTTTGCTCTGAGGTATTTTGGTGATGCTTCATGGTTGGGTCAGCCAACAGCTGCTGGAGGTGAGATATCTGGGATGAAGTCCTCTCCCCAAACGACATCGACTCTATTTTAATTCTCCACGCAGCATGGTGCATTGACACCTGGGCTAAACACATGGTTAAAATTAGGGCCACTGCAGGGGACCTTGACAAACAAGTGACTTTGACTGAATGTATCAGGGCGTCCCTGGAGTCAGACAGAGGCGGAGGAAATAGAGTTTTGTTTTGTTTTAGTTTGTGTTATCTATTAGTCATCACTACCAGTTTTAAAATGCACTTACATGTGATGCAATTATAAATGGTAAATCTGCTTGAGAAATGTATGCTATGGAATTAACAAATATTGTCTTCTTTATTATCTATAACACATTATTTGTTAAATATTTTCCTGCTTCTATACTGCTAAACAGTATAGAATAACTTAACATATTGAAGAAAAAAACAATACTTCAAAATGACTTTTGCAAAGAAATCCCAGCACTTACAGCCAAAAACCAAAAATCCAGTCAAATAAATAGTGTCTTTTATTTTCATTTCAGTAAAGGTGCTGCGGTACACTGAAGATTTTTCTCAAGATGAAGTTTGGAATTTAAATTGTTTTGGGGATTTGGTGGCTCTGACTCAGACACAAACAGAGATATGGAAACTCAGAATCAATCAATTTGGCCTAATTCAGCCCAAACCTAGGGGTCAGGGGGCATCCTCCCCCGTGGAGATTGTTTTACCCACTTAGGGAAGCTATATGCACTACTATTCAAACCATTTGGTAATAAATCACCTCAACATCATCCTGTAGATCCAACATCCTATTTTGTATCCAACTGTTCTCCAACTGTCTTCATCATTGTTAACCCAAAACACAACAAATGTCAAGAATGAATAATTTTCCTATTTTTGTTACACTATGCCGAAAGTGGAGTTCACAGACTGAATGAACTGACACATCTGATACACTTTAATTCATCCCATAATAATCTGGGCTGCTCTAATTGCAAATCAAGGACCCCCAACAATGCCAAGTAAATGTGGTCTTTAATACTCTGATTGAATATTAGGCCAACAGCTGAACATTTACCCAATTATTGCAGATTTCTAAGGAATAGCATACTCTGCTTTCTGTGCTGAGAAGAAAGCAAACTTAATAGCATATGGCTGTGCTTGCATTCTCAGTTAATTAATACTGTCCTATTGAAAACATATTAGCTTTCAGCGTAATAAACAGTCCTAAGTTCCTTCTTTTCCTTTGAGTCAAACTTAAAGAAAAAACAAAAGGGTGGAGACTGTTTAGCCGAAGCTGCGGCTTGAATATTTCAGGTTATGGATGAACTGTCGGGTGTCTGACAAGACCCACTATATAAACTTTGACTCTCACAGGCTCTCCAGAAGACATCGATAGTTGTAAATATTTAATTCAGTGCCTCCGACAATGCATGCCACTGAAACAAATCTTTACCAGATTGAATTCAAGATAAATAGCACGGAAATATCACCAGCGCTGATGCACAGCTTTTTATGCCGTTGTTTTGTCAGGGTGGCCTTGTTGGGGGTTTGTGTTCCACAGATCGCATGTAAGGTTATCCAACGTGTCAGCACTCCTCAAGCAGCAGCTCAAGTGTCTGTCACATATTATATGTGCAGATGTGAATTAGATAACGATACAGTATGTAAAGGCTATTTAAGGACCTAGAGTGTTTTTATAAAAGTCGTAAACTACGGTTTCTGAACTCTCACGTGCTGCTGTTGGTTCAAAACATGCAGTATTTAGTTCCCACCAGAGAAGAAGAGCTGCAATCCACATTGACCCTCCTCTGCATGATACTCAATACTACGGCAAACTGCACAAAATATAATAGGAAACCATCAAACACAGCCTGACATCCTTTTTACTGTATTTTAATGAAATGTTAATGTATCCTCAGTATGCTGTGCAGCTGTAAGATGAAGGACAATGTAACCAAGACAAAAATTGTAAAAATTATACATGGTTTCCCTGCTGCCTTAAAAATGAGTTAGACTGAACTGAATTTAAATAATGACATTAAAGTCATGTCATTAATTGTGAAAATGTACGTTCACTGAACTTAAGAAAACAAGTTCAGTAAACTTAAAGTATTTAGTTGATTCAATAACTGCCATAGTCAGACTAGTTATCCATTGAATTTTCAATTGACACAAATAACTTCACAGCTGTGGCTGCTGCTGTAGGAGCCACTTTATCACCTCAGACATACAGGAAGCTGTCCCCAGAGATGTGGTTAAAGTAAAGGCTTATGGGTGAAATATAAAGCTCAAAGTACTTTTTAAAACATGTATTTTATAATATATTTGATGAAGTTAACAACAAATCATTAGTTAATTCAGCTAAAGTCATGTAGGATATTTTCTAGTCTAAAGGTAATGCATTATTTCACATGTCTGTAATTTTATAATAATAATAATACGAAATAACATAATTATTTTGAGGAAATGTCTTAGAAATGGTTGGCAGAAGGACTCCGGATCAGAAACACAATCAAGAGAAGAAGACAAAAAGTCTAAAATTCTGATCTCAGTTCGGAAACATCTAAATTACATGGCTTCCTGCCATCAATAAATGATCAACACAATTCAATTTTTAAACTTTTATTCACTTAAATTCTCAAGTGTTAAAGCAAGAACAAAAACATTTATAATGTCCTTTGGTGGGATTTTATTACACTTTATTAATACCGTATATGTAAACTGATATTCTTTGATGCCAGCACGTTGCCAATACAAAGGAAAATCAACTGCACAACTAAAAGTAATATCAACAAATAAAATAAGTGAATGAAAGAAATGGAAATCAAAAGAAAACCATAAACAATTGCTTCTGCATTTGGATGTTTTAAATAGATACATTAAAGGTTGCCTTTTTTTCAATCACAGTTCGGCAAAGATACAAAAGGACTACATGACTCTTTTTTTTTGTTTGCTCTGTCGAGAAAAGAACTTGCAAATACACCGATGGTTTTCTATGCACTTCTCGTCTGCTCAGGTGAAAACTATCCTCGGACCGTAATCGCAGGGAGCGTGGAGGCTCTAAGATAGAAAAAGAATCAGACAGCTTTATTGGAGTATCTTTTTGCAGGAGAGGAGAGGCGGGGAGGGTAAGGGGCTTCTTACACATGTGCATCACTAACATCGGACAAAAGAATCTTTCAACCAACAAGGGTTTACAGAGTAACGTTCACGAAAGCACAGGTCTGTGGCAGCATGGCGAGGGGGTTTGGGACTGGAGGCAGGAGAGGGAGGGAGGATGAACAGGAGGGAGGATGAGATAGAGCTCAGGGTGAGAGGGGGGGGGGGGAGACAGAAAGCTAGAGAGGGATCAACGTGGGCAAGGTTTTTTGTGTCACAAAGTGGCAGTCCGGACGGATTTCCTTCTATCCACAAAGCACTGACAGCAAAGAATGCTTCGTGTGTTTCCTCCTCTTTTTTCTCGAAAGCGGCACGGTCGTATTTCAGCCATTCAGCGCGGACGGCTTCTTTGAGATTTCTTCAGCGTCAGTCCAGCCAACATTAAGTCGCGGAAGCGTCCCGCAGGGGGGGATCGACGGCCACTACCGACTCGCTCGAGAGCTGATTGGTCGCAGCTGTTGTTGCCGTGGCAATAAGAGGGGAAGTGAACGAGTCCGTCATCTTCAGTTATCCCTTCTCAAGCTGGAAGGAGCGCAAGTACCTGGTATGGCTTAGAAGGGGAGGGGGTTTCATTGTTCTTTGCACATTTTACTCTTAATAGGCAAACGCTCTTTTTTTTTTTTATAATATCTGGCATTTTTAGAAGTATATGTTTTTTGTTTTTTTTTATATATATTCTTTGAAATTAAATGAAAAGTTTTTGCACTCATTTTTCTGGCACATTCCCTTTATCGTCAGCGCGAGTGTCCATTGAGTCTGGCGGCGGACAAGCTCAGAACAGTACAGTCCAGAAAGCTCATGGTTGTTCTTGTTTAATGGTTGTTGATTATTTGAAAGGGTGGGGAGGGGGGGGTGGGGGGGGTGGGGGAGGTTAAAGTGGAGGCGGCGGGGAGTTTATCACTCCCACCAGGTCATGGGGCCTCTTTAGAGCAGTGCAGGCCAGCAGGAGGCCTCTCTCAGCAGTGCCGAGCCCAGCAGCAGCAGCAGCAGCAGCCTGTGGGGCGATGGAGGCGTCAGGGGGGCCTGGCCCGAGTCAGGGCCCCCGCAGCCACCCAACTCCGATTTGCAGCGGGGGTTCTCGCACAGCAGACCCGTGTAGTCTGAGGTACAGCTGCAGCGGACGTTGTTGACACACACCCCGCCATTTTGGCAGCGCAGGAGCTCGTTGTCACAAACCCGGGCTAATGCAAAGACAGGAGAGAGGAGTCAGGATCAAACAGTCAACACAGTTTGGGTGACCCTTTACTTGAAGTGTACTGTGCTGCAGCAAAAACGTATCAGAATCAAATCAATTTCAAATCATTAAATGATCTACTCCCCATTATTAAAATGAAAATGATCCCTGCGGGGAAATTAGGAATTCTCTCATGCTCCAATTCTAACAAATCAAAAACTCACAAAAGGTCTTCTTCAAGTAAAGTGTTACCGCATTTTATTCCAGATTTGATTTAGCTGAACTTCGACAGGAAGAGTTAAACATTTTGGGAAATAGGCTTATTCAATTTATTTCTGCCACTTTGATGAGGTCAATACAACTCTTATATCTGTACAGTCGATATGGAGCTAGAGACAGCAGCCAGTTAGCTTAGCTGAGTTCATATCTCTTTTCGTTAATCTGAAAAATCGGAAGTGTAAAAACACCATTTTGTTTAATGAGTGTTTTTTTTGTGCCAGCTTGTTGCTTGGAAACATTCCCTATGGGCACATACACCTCTTTAAAACGGCAAATTGACCATTTAAACACTAATCGGCTGCTGCTGCCTCCAGCTTCCTATCAACAGCGTAGTAGATGTAAGAGTGATTATATATTAATATTATGATCTTACTCTCAGCAAGACAGCCAATAAGCTGATTTCTAACTGGATTTGCAAAAAAAAATAAAAAATCCTTGATATGAAATATATATTATTCTTCAAGGCAAACTACAGTGCATGCATCTTAATTACATCAGTCAATAGTTGACTATATCAGGTTAGTAATGTTAGTCTAACTCGTAAAAGCACACGTTAAAGCCACCAGGTGTAGAATTAGAAAATGTCTACCTTGGCGCCCCCTGTGGTAGTACCAAAACAGACATTGATTTTCACAAAGATTGTCTAATTTTTTATATAAAAATTGTGCCATCACAATCATTTCAAAGATGGCATAATTACATCAAGTATATAGACAAAGTGGATTCATAGGATTCTTTCATCACATCTAGTATTCTAGTTTAAGTTTAATATTTTAAAATTCCCTTCACGAATTTCATTATTTCCTTATAAAAACAAACAATACAATTTAACATCCTCCTAATAATATGACGTGCAATCAAACATCATGGCACCTTTAAAAGTTACAGCAAAGAAGAATGATCCTCTTTTGTTTTGTAAACGTAATCATTCCGTCTGTTGCGTGAGTACATTCCCTTCTTGTTTACGTCTTTCATAACAAAGCTGATTAAAGCCTCGTCCCATCAGCGGTGTTGCTGCACAGAAGTCCTCAAAGCCTGACAGGCTTCCCCCCAAACAGCATTGTCTTTAGACAAACCGAACGTCAGGTGAAAATTGGTGTATATTTAGAGCTGGGACACCGAGGCCACTCTATTCCCAGTGGAGGCAAGCTGTCAGGCAAGCTGGAGGCAAACACAGCAGCGGCGCACAAACTAATAAACCAACAGAGACAAATAAACAGTGATAAACACAGGGGCCACTTCTGCCCATTTCAGTGCTTTATGGGAGTGGAAAACAATGTGGTGAGCAATCTATGAACTCTATGGGACATAAATATCACAATAACAAATATCAGGCCTCTCTCCTGATACTCAGGATTGGACGCATGCTGTCTCCCAGGAATAGCCAAATGGGGCTTTGATGCGAGGCTTGTTAAGAGACATTGACTCTGTGAATCCTATTTGTGCCATGTCTGTTTTGCAGGAGAAAAGGGACCTGCTGTTTGGCTCAGTACGTTCTGCTCTAGGCCACAGCTCACCCAATTACCATACACAACTAGATCCAAATAAGACATCTGAACTCTGCCGTTGTCTTTTTGTCCCTCTGACTGACATATCAATTTCATGACAAATTCAACCACTCAGCAGGAAATAAAGTAATGTGTCAATAAAACATCAATCACTGTTTCTTTTCTTCAGAGAGCCATTGTTCTCTTGGTTTTCTCAGCAGCTGAACTTGGTAATAAAACGTCTCCTTCAAGATGACAAGGAAGAACGTATTAATTAAAGAATCGTGTTTTTCCCCACCAGGCCTTGATATGATCAGTTCACTGCAGAGACTCCTTTAATTAGACAATGACTTTTCATCATGTCCGTCTTATCTCTCATTGCTTTCATGATAAAATGCTTGTATGTTGTGTATTTATAAAGATATTAAGAGTGGTTTGTGTTATTTATGTGCTCTAAATGTATCATAAAAACACTGGAAATGATGTGCAATACAACATTGTATATTCAAATCTTTTCAAAGTAAAAAACCAGCCCAAGGTCTACCAACAGGCCAGAGCATGAGGGGCCTGGAGGATAAGCTCAAGCTATGCTAATTTGATAAGACAAGCAAAATGAAGGCAGCTTTAAAAAAAAGTGCAGCCTTCTCCTGCACTACAGATGTGACAAAAGAGCTTTGTGACAATTGCACAATATTTGATTTTCACCCTACTCAAGCTACGCATTTCATACTTGGAAGACATTACAACCCTGAGTTGTTGATTAAGTCTACAGAAGCTTAAAGAGTAGCTTTCAGTAATGATACAGAAGTAAGTGTCTTAATGGTGATTATGTTATGGTCATCTCCAAATCAAGTTGGTTGAAGGGTTTTTGTTTGAGCTGCAAACTACTTTCAGCAGAAATCTTAACTACCGGTAGCTAAATCCATCTATCGCTAACTTCAGCAGGTATTACTCATGTGTCAAACAATTACATAATGTCAGTGAGTTGGTTTAGGAATAAATGTTGGCTAACAATAGCTGTGTGACTGGTAATCTTCAGCAGCAGGGATACTCTCCTCAGGTTGCATGTTTTAGCCTCAATTTATAACTGGTTGACTGTCCAGAAACGACAGCAACATGAGGTGTTTCATGTATTTCTGTGAGACCAGGTTGGAAAATGTTATTTACTTCTGACTTTCAGCAGTAAGTAGAGAAGCAGCCTTTGCTAGCTCGGTGTGATTTATGTTTAAATATCAATATTGAGAGTGAATCTTCATTTTACGGTTAACCACTACTTTAAATATTAACTATGCATGGTGCTCAACACGGCGTTCAGTTGACTTCAAAGTAAACCTCAAGTAATGGCCGACCCCTGCAGGCAAAGTGCTTCATTTGCTGCCAATTAAGCAACGCTAAAGTCCAAAATTAATGTTTTTTAAACGTGCAGTAGCAAGTTTGTCAACGATGTAAACTACAATGAGATTAAAGGTTCTCTAACAATGTGACGGAGAGAGCAAAACCTGAGGGCACACAAAGTACCAGCATGGGGCATTATGTTTTTATACACTAAAGATGGGTATTCTAAGGATGAGTGTGGAATTATGCTGAAAGCCTGAAAACTCATTTGGTGGAGGATGAATTCTTCTTAGAGCTCTGCACCTTTATCTGTCTTCAATCCCTCACATTAACCATTTTCTCGGCATGTAAACAGAGCCAGCGCAGGCAGTAAATGACAAGATTTGTAGCGTTTGCTTTTGATATGAGTGATAATATTTAGAGAGGAGCTCGATGAACTAGGTGTGCCTGTCTGGGACTGTGATGTGTTTGACGAGAGATTTGAGTTTTAATTGCATTCTTCAGTCTGCATGCAGATCGAGTCTTGTCCATGCACATAAATACTGCAGCAGCGGGGAAGCAAGGGGAGGTCAAGACTGAAAAGTTTTCAAACTATTTCTGCCGTGGAATAACTCAAGCATTAGAAGCTCCTTGGGCAGGCATTATTAAACTTTATTTAAACTTTTTTGTAGAAAACCTTTTGTGAAGCCAATGTGAGATCAAGTTCACTATAAAAAAGCTGTGTTTTCCACTTTGGACCCAGTTTTTGTTAAGTTCTTTTTTTAAATTTACGTGGAAAACTGGCTTTTTAAGTTATTGCCAGAGCAGTAAGGGATTAATTTCATCTACTAAAACATCTACAACAAGACATGGAGAAATCCATAGCCGAGGCAAAAATACTCATTCCTCCACCGTGGCCTCAGAGGACCAAAATGCAATGCAGTCAGGGCTTTCATCTTTGCAGATTGTCAGTAAAGTAGAGTGTAAAACCCAGTGCATTCTTCACCAGGGCCGAATATAATGGTGTGTTCACACCAAATGCAAAGGAACTTTTTGCCCTTTGTATCTTACGCTAGTTTGACCGCAAGTCTGTGGAAGTCCCAGATATGTTGTAAAACCAAACGAGATCGGATCGATCAGTGCTAGGCTATGCTAACATTGTAGCATTGAAAAGGTTGCTTTTTGGTTGTTGTTTTTTTTGGTTTGGTGTGAAGACACCATAACACCACACCATTGTTCTTCTTTTTCTCTTTTTGATATTGCTATTATAATCACACACGTATAGCACAGGAAACGCCTTCTTTCCATGAAAGGCATTCTGGGAAATATAGTTCAATGTGTCGACTGAAATAAAATAATAGGTTTAAGGGCAGTGGGCACGCTACAGAATAAATTCTAATTTAATCACAAAAGAACACACATCTTTCAGGTAAATAAAATGCCCTCAAGTTGGATTTCTACATTTTGCACATGATCAAGTGTTGCAGTATTTCTTAAACCTCTTTAGTCTCATTGTAGGAAGAGTGAAAGTTTGAGGCTTAGAAGTTTTGAGAACATACAAATACTTCACACAAGCATGTTTGTTTGATTTTCTAATCACTGCTTCATAGCTAATCTGACAAATAAAACTACGGATCTATTCTGTGCTCGGTGTCTTCCCATCTGTTTGACATGTTTTCTGTTCACTCATTTTTACCTTCCTTGTTTCTTGTAAAAATGTAATTACTCCTGTTGTACAGCTCAGTATTGTCAGTATCACACTGAGTAGTGAGTTTGTATATGCATTTATAACATGTTGGCATGTGAACCATACAAACGTATGCCTTCCCCTCTACCTTTTGTGTAGAAACAGATGTATTCACACTATATCATTTATAAGGGTCAGGAACTGCTGAACTATGCACATGCCTTTAAAGCACTTGTATTTACATGTTGCAGACTAACAAAGGCTAAATAATAATAGTAATAATAAGAGTATTGGTGTTATTTTTAACATATTAGTGTCAAGCTGCATACACTGCATCTTATAGTGCATTGTGGTCTATTGTGGCTGCCGCCATACAGCAGAAAGCTTTGGTCTCTTTGATGATGGATTTCTTCTTTATTGTTGAACACCAATAGTGAATAGTAGTTCCTAAAAAGCCTTTGCTGTTATTTTGAGGGACTAGCATTACAACTTGTCATTTACAAATTTCATTACAACAATTGTTCAATGCAACGATTAATTATATTGATTATATATAATTGTAATATTGTATTTTTAACACTGATAAATAATCTAGCTAAATTATAGAAGGCCTTATTTTTTTCATTATTCATAAAGATAAAAAAACTATTGCCAGTTGAAATCCTACTGAAAAGATATTACCATTTGTTTGTGCCATTGGCCAAGTGGTTCCTCATCTTTATTTTCTTCCTGCTATATTTTCTTCAATACCTCTTTCCGTTTGTTTGAATAATTCATCACAAAACAGATGAAGGCGTCATTTATCTCTGCTCAAAGTTTGTGCTGTGCATTTATTGTGCTGTGCCTCTCATTCACATTCCTCTGATTGGATCAGAAAGTATTTCAGGCTCGGCGATTGGATGAATACTTCATAGGAAGCAGACCAACTGCTGACATTCGTCATGATAATATTACACTGGCTAAATCCTTAAATCCACAGGAAGAAATAGAGGCCACCACTAGAAATGAATCCCTCAAAATCCCGTCACCCTACAATGTTGAGGCACCTTATTTAGGACACCATTGTTAGCCAGGACAGAGATTAATGTTGAGCTACAGGAGGAGGGCAAATAGATGTCACCACCGTGTGGAAAAGGTCTATAAATCTGATGTAACTTAATCACAGTTACAAACAGTGACACAGAGATGGGTAATGGTTGGTCAAATGCTAATTGGCAGCAATTACTAACTCGTCTGACAATAAGTTATGAGTTACAAGACAAGTAATTGCTCCAAACAGGCCAAATCCTTTGTGCCCAAACTGTAGGTTAATTTGTCAAAACATATGCAGCATAAACAGCGTTTGCAATGGTGATTTTGTATCTTAAAGATCTTTTTTTATCTGTCAGAGTTAAAATCATTCCTCATGAGGTGAGTACTTTATTATGGCTGCCTCCTGTAGGTTTGTCACCAAAAAATAAAAAATAAACAAATGAAAAATTGGTGACATTTGAAAACAAATGACTACATGGGGCATGCATTGCAAAATGACCGGGGGGCATAGAGACAATAATGAATCTCCTTTGAAAAATGTTAGCGTTGGATGACATTGTCCTGTTGTGAGCTGGCGAGGGGGTGATGGCTACTCAAACAGATCACAGGCAGCCTGTCAAGCAGTCAACATTGACTCAGCTGTTGTTTTGTTGGTGTGCGACATGGCTGGATAACTGAGTTACGGAGCAGCATGCACCCTGCCATGCCATTGCATTTTCTCTATTTGAGCCACACAGGGCACCTGCTGATATTACACTGTTAACTCGGCCGCAGCGAGTGTGAAATGCAGGTTCAGTTGGTGAATCAAATGGCTTAGTTTATTGAGTTAGATCGTGTTATGGGTTAGGTCTGTATTTGTCAAGGCAGCTGGGCAGTCCTGCACATGTGCAGCACATTCTTCCAGGCAGAGCTCAGGAATCAGAGAGAGAAGAAATCAGAGAGAGGTAGCAGAGAGAGACAGAGCTGAGGGAGAGAACAGTCGTGAGCTGCGTGGGGAGGTTTGTGGTTCTACTTACATTTGCAGCCATCGTCCCACAAATAGCCGGGTAGACACTGCTGACACTTAGGCCCTGTAGTGCCCTCCTTACATATACAAAATCCTGTGCCATTACAGCGATCACTGACTGAGCCAAAGGGATTACAATTACACTCTGGAAAAACAAGACACACACATACACACAGGCTGGAAACAGGGTGGTGCTTTGACTTTACCGGCACACGTCTAGGATTTTCACAGCGTGGACCTCGTTCCTCGAGCTCAATTATAAGCTCAACTATTGCAACAAGAAGCTTACTCATCTTTAACTGGTAAAAAGAGAGATTTAAAAATAGATTTAAAGACATAGAGAAAAAATGCTACCATTTCAACTGTAATGGAGACAGAATGAGAAAAGAATGACTGACCCTAGATGCATGAACACTTTGTATTCATTACAGCATATTTGTGAATATTATAGAAATATTTTTGCAGTTATATGGCTATACAACGTGCAATGAGCAAATATGCAAAGCATTATCAGTAGCTTTGATTTAAGATGAACAAAGAGAGCTAATCGGCACATGCTTTTCCAAAATCGTATTCATTCATACAGGTATGGACAGAAAAAGATGAAAGGAGGAGAGAGGAAATGTGGTGAGCAGGTATCAGATGGAAAATGGCAAGAAAGAGTGATTGATTATGGAAGAATGAGAGTACAGCACATTGAAATGGGCATTGTTGTAATATGTTCTTTAATTCTCTCTAATTTTCAAATGGATGTACATATTGCCTAGAAATTTGGCATAATCCTCAAATGCCTATTTGTCAATAACAGAAGAAAACGGCCATTAGCCACAATTAGATTTGGAATAAATAACCTCTGTGAAATAACAACCTGTCAAGTCTCTGGTGTCCTACGCTCAACTGACCTTCCAGCTTTCCACAGCGACTGGAGCACTCTGCAGTCAAAGTGACACCTATTTTGACAGTCCCTGACCATCACATTGCACCTTCTGTGGCTGTGCTGGCTGCACCCGAGTGACATCCGGGGGTCAGGCAAGAGGAGAGAGGTGACGGCAAGTGACAAACGGGAGGGTCAGTGTGAGAGAGGAAGGGTGACGGCGAGTTTGGCACAAGGTAACGCCTCGGTGACTCTTAATGCCTTGTGACGGGTTTCAGCTGCTACTCTTGAGGCCATTTCATGTATATGACATATGCACTTGTGTGGCACCTCTGACTGGCGGTGTGACTTCCCTGCGACATTTCTCTCAGAACTCTTGTTGCTTGTCAGACTCTCCCCTCAGGACTCACAAATGCACCTGGCACTGAGCACTGAGAACTCACAGTCCACATGCTTGCTAAAGAATCCAATAGGGAACCAACTGATTGCCTTAGGAACTAGGTGAAATGCAATTTTCACATACTTTTTCACTTAAGAAAAACAGATGATGCAGTGTATGAATGCCTGCATAAAGGTCATGGACAAAATAACAGAAACACCGGATGAAAATGGCCTTTTAACTTTTACATCACAAAGGTGATCTGTCTTCATAGCTGAGTCATATTGATGAGGTGACAAGCCAAATAGTAAAATTACATGTACCTTGATCACAAATGATGTAGTTACTAAGGATGACATTTTGAGAAATATTAGCATAATGATGGGAAACAGAAGGATACAGCTAGCCTGGCACCGTCTGAAAGGCTTTTACAATTCAGTTTTTGTACAGATTAATCAAAGGACATATGATCTGTTAATTAATTAACTTGTATATTTTGTTACCTTTGGACAGACCCAGGCTAGCTGTTTCCCCTTCTTTCCAGTCCGTGCAATGCTAAGCTAAACTGCTGCTTGCTCTAGCTTAATTTTTAATGTAAAGACATGAGACTATTTTCGGTGTTTCCATTAGTTTGTGCACATGCTTTAATTCTTTTTAATCAATGCTTGGGTCCAAACCAATTGTAACGCACTTTATTATTAAGTAAAAGCTAGCAGCTAGAAACCAATTGTAACGCACTACATTAATGTGAGCTAGCAGCTATGAACCAATTGTAACACACTACATTAATGTGAGCTAGCAGCTATGAACCAATTGTAACACACTACATCAATAAATACAAGCTAGCAGCTAGCTAACTGTGATACTGTATCAGTCTAGAGTGATTAAAACCATGCCTGAAAGGAATGACTGAAAACCACCAAGCATTCTGATTATATTTTATATTTTAGTATTTGACTAAAGCTGATGGACGAGTGTCCTCCATATAAAACTCCACCATTTTGCAAAAGCAGAAGAAACAAACAGGAAGATGTGGAGACCACCAAAATACATGGGACAAGAGGATGTAAGGGTGATGAAGCGGTGGGGGATGAAAGATGACACTTTCTCTGGTAACGAGTCAAAGACAGGAGGTGAGGCAAGGAAAGTGTTTGTGTGACAGCAGGGTGGTGGTGAAAGGGGCCAGGTGGGGGACTAACCTATGCAAACATTTTCATCGTCCAGTTCTGCCGAGGTATTGCGGTAGTAGCCCAGCTTGCATAGCTGGCAGTGCTGGCCCCTAGTGTTGTGCTTACAGCTCACGCAAATGACGGTGTTTAGCAGCTCGATGTAGCTGCATCGGTTGGAGTGGCCGAAGCATTCACAGTCTTGCAAAGAGAGCGTGAAGGGGAGAGAGGGGAGAAAGAGAGGCAAAGAAAGAGAGAGACGCGGCAGGGAGTGTTGTCATTGTTGCTTTTGCTGCGAGTGCTACGGCGGTGGGGTTAGCAATAATGTGAGTGAGGCACCATGGCATGCAAGGTTAAGAATGGAGCCTGCGTTGTGAGGGAGAAGATGTTAGGAAAAGGATGAGAGTGAGGGTCACTCATGATTAGTCTGACATGGGCACAGCCGGAATTAGAAGACATCACATAAAAAAGCACGGCGTTAGTAGGACTCGAAAAGGTCACATCACTTCAAGCACACCACAACACGAGGCAAGGAAGGCTCCGCAATGATGAAACAGAGACACGGTCACATTGGGAACACCGCACAGTGTAAGGCAGGTCAAACCATGAATGAAATGGAACTTCTAACTCAGGGAATTGTGTTGGGAAATTTTGAAATAGTTGTCAAATTGATCTATTGAATGTCCCAGATGATAGAGTTTGAGCTAACCGGATGAGACTTTCAGTGGCGCTTCATATCACAACCCTCTAATGAAATACATGATGAATTCATAAATTGACAAACCCTTACAGTAAATCACCCAACAAATATTTAAAAATTTGCTGGATGGTTGTGTAACTCATCAACCTCACAATATGGAAAGTTAACATATGCTGAGGTCGACCGGTAGAGAGTGTGCCACCGCCTGCTATGCAGTGTTATGTTATGCTAAATTAGATACATGGAGTTGTAGCTGGACTGTAAAACCTCATGTTGCAGTCTGTGATACTCACTGACAGTACTGGCCTAAAGGGGTGCAGGATGGGAGGGGTGCAGCCCCAGCTCAGCTCCATCCGAGTGAGGATCAGTCTGCCACGCTGAGTGACCACTGACACCACGTGTCACAGCGCAGACAGATGTGACACTTAAGCCGCACTGGCAGTCGCTTGGACAGAAAGCACGCGGACCCAGAGTAGAGAGGTGGCGGATGGGGCTTTCGTCCAAGGGATTGTGGTTATTAAGGATCTGTATTGAGGTCAGGTCTCTCTGTCCGGCCGCTAACAACCCGACAAGACTTGGAAATGAAGGAGCAGCAAGACTACTCCTCTCTACCTTTCACCTGAAGCAGAGAGTCCGGTTCGAGTGTGAGCTAAGATCTCCTACATTAGATATGCCTCAGTCTCGCAAACATACTCTTAGAAGACAAATAATCTCTCTTTTCCAGAAATAGGCTAAGGTCATAAATCATGCACGCACGGGGAATACAAATTCCTGAGTCTCCGAAACACGTTTCCCAAAAATAGTTGTAGTCCCAAGCACCCGCTTTATTTGCTGAAAAATATATGATTCCAAGGGACTTTTATAGTGTTTAGAAACGATTCCATAGATGAATGAATCCTCAATGTGCAATGTACAGTGAAAACCATCAGTCCAGTTCAGAGCTAGAGATATGGACACACAGTGCTCTGGCATTGGGTTAGTGCTGTAAGGGTTAGGGGGCTTACAGTTAGTCAGAAACATCAGTTTATCTGGGGGGCAATGTATGAATTCCAGCTCCTACCTCGCTTGCTGTTTGCAACGTGGACAGAAGGGGCAGTGGACAATGCAACCTGAGGAGCTACTAGACAAATTAAAAGAACAAACAAACAAAACAAAACAAAAACATGATATTGCAATTAAACATAAAACATGTAATGTCAGAGAATTAAGAATACTGAGCATCATGCTTCATAATATATGTAACTAAAAAAAAAGAAGAAGAAGAAAGAAATATATGAATGATGGCATTGGGAAATAAGGAGTGACATTGCCAAGTGTAGTTGGCTGCATGTAGCAGCATCTGTTACAAATGTCTTGGATGCTGAACAATTCAAATATTATGGTCCTTCTTTTATGCTTCATTTCATTAACAAGTGCTTTGTATAATTCAAAAGCCTCTGTGTATGCTTCCCCAGACAGAAACTATCCCCTGACAAACTACTCTCCACCTCTGTGGAGGCCAGCCAAGAATTTTCACCATATAAATTTGTGCACAGGAGCGTGGGCAGGGAAACTGGCTAGTGAACACATCCATCCCTCGATTCCTTTACGGTCATAAAACAAACAGTGGGAAAAAGAAATAATAGGCCCAGCCTCTCCCATTGTACTGGGTGACATAAGCCCCTGACACATACAATGTGTGCGCTTGGCTGCAGTCATGGAAACGCAGAGCTGAGTGGTTGTGTGCTAGTTGTTTGCGAGGTGGCTGCACATCACATTTGCACGATGGATTAAGCTGAGATGAGCCTCACATCAATCTGCATAAAAACCAGAGTGGAACCTCTCCTGCTTTGCTTCCTGATACGCTGAGATGGGACCGAGAATATATATATAAATGTACAGGGCACACATTGAGAGGATAACGTACGGCACTGCAGCATGTTGCAACATGAGTGCCCCGTGAATGCACAAGCCTCCACTGAAAGAGCCAAAACCCTTTATCATGAGCAAGACAAGCAGGCGGAGGAGGTTTTTTCTTTTGGTTTGTCAGGAAAATAACCAAGACTGGAAACGGGGGAAGATACTACCCACAAATACTCATAGCTACCAAAGAGTCTTTTCTTTTTCTTTTTGCTTCTATGCAAACACCCCGAGATAAATGAATCTGTGAAAAAACATAGTTGTTCCATTTTCTTGGAAGCCTACCTTCTTTTCGGTTAGCGACACCTAGGGATGACACATTCGGCCGAACTGCGTGCAATTGAGAGAAACCAGGAGTTATTCATGTGCACTTGTGTGATGCACTTTACAGATATTCTAGAGGGGGGGGGGGGACTACGTGGTGGTGTACACACACAACTGGACACACGGACATGTCCAGCATGACTCAGTTCAGTAAATTAGGAAACAGCAAATACAATGGGGCAGGGCTGACATGGACGAGCAAAGAGAATGCATCCAAAGACCCGCTAAGGACATTGGTGAGACGTTGTATGTCATTTGTGTGACTTCCATGGGCTTGCTGTGTATGTGTATGTTCATGGTAATGGCAATGATGAGTGAAAAACGGAAGAAAGAAAATGGTAAAAACCCTCTTAAACTTGGTATTTAAGTCATGATTTATGCAAGCGAGTCTAAACTATGTATAGCAAATTAAGAAGTTAGGGGTCATTTTGTTTAATTCATCGCATTGACTATGCAATCAATATCTAATTACAGTGTATTTCTGGTGGACGAATAACAATGAATAAATAATGGCAGGTGTTGGGACTTGGAATGACAGACTGCTGTGGGTAGCACAACCTCATAATCACATACAAGTCCGTATTTCCGTGTCAGGGAAATACTTTGCGGTTGGAAATGGAGAGGACTCAAGCAAAGGGAGGAATACGGATAAGTTTCCTCTTCGTGCCCCTTCATCTCCTAATTTGATCTTTCTGTCCTTTTGGTATTGACTCCATGAATCATGCATTCTCGGGTAATTAACAACCAGCGGTGTCTTGGCAACAATCCTATTAACCTAACTGTGTGTAAATCTAATACAAGACTCCTATCCAGGCCGAATCATGTTAGAAATACCTTTTTCACATCTAATTAAATAATACATTAGCTTTGAGCTTGGCATATCCACACACTGTGACTATCACTTTTAAGCCCCCCTTAAGTTACCAGTCATTGATTTTAAAAGTGCATGAACAATAGACGACCATGGAGTTTGCCTGGTCTCATCGTTTTCTTTCATTTCCTTATTTCCCTACAAAATGTTTCAAAATGGATTACCCGGTTAAAGTTACTTGAGTCACTCGATGAGAGGCTCCATGAAAATGAGAAGGGCACACCACATCGCCACTCAAACTCAGGACTTACATCTTGTAAATGATTGACCCTTGTTGTTTTTATCTGAATTGAAATCCTCAGTTAAGTTTTTAGCGGGGAAGCTGTTTGTTCGAAAACAAAACTGACTTCGAGGACATGAGCAATAAGTCTATGACAAAAACATAAGTATGCATAATCTGAGAAAACGCACATGAGCACACCGCACTGTTCCGATCTATAACGTCTAATTGGTAAAGTCGGTTCATTTGAAATGATTCTGTGTTGGATGTAACACACATCTGGGTGCCATTAATTATTTTGTTATAGAGAATATTTAGGTAAGGCGAGCTAAATGAGTGGTGACGGATTTTAATCAATGCCATACCCATAATGAAATGCAATCTTGCGTTGCCAGAATTGTTTTTTAAAATATTAATTTCACTTTAATGGTACGCATTAGGCAATTCTGCCTGGCTTAATCAACTTGAAATAGAATTGAGAAAAGTCAATAAGGAATTCAATTACCTTCAAACAACAACATGAAAAGTGCTGCGCTTTCTTTCTTTGTCCACAACAGCTTTGCTTCTAGTCCATTTAACAACCTCAAGGACCCCCTAACCTTTCCCACTCTATTCTGACTTCATTTATAAAAGAGACCGACGATTGGTTTGTGTTTGCATTGAAAACAGCCTCCTCTTCAGTTTTTTTTTGTGTCATGCCGGTTCTTTGTGAGGCTGCTGTGACAAGACAGCCATTCGTGAGAAGAACTCTAAATCCCTGTGGGCCAATCTGGATAGGAAGTGAAGACTTTGTTTTGTCAGTGTCTGCCCCCCCCGCTCACACACACAACCAGACACTTATCAGCAAGCACACTCTTTCCCCGTGAAGGATTTGAGGACAGCCTTTGGCCTGGCATTTGGATGGGACGGAGAGGACTGATGTGAATATGTATGCATGTGTACACGGCAAGTATGCAGAGCATGCACACGCACACTGAGCTCTCGTCAGGCCATGCATGGAGTGGAGGCACGGTTTGTAAAAGTGAGAGGAGGTAAGCAGCGGGGAGATTGGGAGAAGGGAGGGGGCTGGTTTTGGTCTTCTTGGCCACATGTCCATTTCTGACTCATGTCATAGCATCAGACTCTACAACCAGTGTTCACTTCCCTTCTAAAGCCTGATTAAAAACCACCTGGGAATAATCTGTTTTCCGCCTGCGTTTCACACAGCACGTTTTGGGAAACTTGCCCAGCTATCGTCTTAGCCCTTAAATGATGAAAACAAGTGTGTCATGTGTCGTCCAAGTGTCCCTTGGTGTGTAACACTTGAGCAACTTAAGCATGAATTAGATATCAAGTGCAAGTAAGCTACTACATTTAATATTACGAATCTGAAAACAAGTACTCATAACAAAGCTTTAAAAACTTGTTCAACATTTTGAGGATGTTGAATTGACCATTCAACTGTCTAGCTTTGGATGAAGATAATAGACTTCATATCACATTCCAGTGTATGCTAAAGTGTTAACATGGAGCATCAGAGCCAACGCTATTGTCATTGCGCTGTCTTTATCATCATTTAACAGTTAGGTTGATCATTGGGGTTAATGTATCAGAAAGGTGCATGTCTCTTTAACCCTCGGCCAGTCTATGTGGCTCTGGGATCAGACAGGGAGGGTGCCATTTGCTAATCAATCTGTTACCACGGGAACAGAGGATCCCCGCTACGATCAGGGCAATGAGTAAAAAGATAGAGAGAATTGAGCCGGGCTTTGAATGCACTTTGACTTGTTCAATACAATCCCATGGTTCCTGCATCACACAGCCTTCCAGGCAGCGGTAACTTGAGACATGGCACCTCTCTTCTTCCTCCCCCTCCTAAGGGGCTACTGGTTGACGAAGATAATACCAGCCGAGGCGCTTGCGGCTCATATTAAAATGACCTCCTGTGACATTATACTGCCAGAGAGGTCTTGGCACTTTAATAAAGTCTAGATGCCATTTATTTATAATGCATGGGAGAGAAGGAAAAAAAAACAAATGACATTCTGCATGCAGATCCAGGCAAGTGTTATCTGGTTGAGTTGAGTCTGGATAAAGTAAATGAATATGCCCATATCATGGCAATACAGCCCCCAGCTATTGCTTCTCTGTCTCCCCAAAAAACAGTTGACAATTGAGTGATCCTTTTGTAGGAAGATTGGAATCAGAAATGAACACTTGGCACCAAGTTCAGGGATGTAGGGTGAAGGGTGGCACATTAGGCAAAGCAAAGCATCAAGCATTCATATAGTTCCTTTGTATTTTGTACTTACTAACTGGACCAATGTTGTTAGCAATACCTGCAAGAGAGAAAGAGAAAAAAACAAACCTTAAATTACGGCATAACATTGGCGTTAAGGCAACAACTGCAACATTTCTCCTTGAGACTAGCAGTGTATTGTTAGTCCTGCTATCCTCCCTCACAGTAGATTGGTTTCCCATCCCGATGCTCGTGATACATCTTGATGAGCTGAACACACTTGAAATGACACATAGTGTGAGACAATGGCATCTGAAACAATGCTAGCCTTCCCCATGATTTGAAAGTGTTGTCTGCTGTACGTTTAGCTTCACGGTTCTTTGGTTTCCTCCATTATTTCTGCTTTGATGTACCTGATGTTGCCAGAAAAGGTCATTGCTGCCCTCTCCCACAGCACAGAGGTGCACACCTAAATCCAATTTCAGCAACCACTACGGGCTCAGAGAGTAATATTTTAGTTATTCTGAAGAGGTGCTTAATTTGATATTCCGAGCGTTAATATAGCAGCAAACAACTATTTGCTATGTAAATACAGTATATAGTGGAGTAATGACTACCCGAGCAGAGATTGAAGTCGCCCTCCCTCTGTGTGTGTTGTTATCCAAGCTTCTATGTTCTCCACATGCTATCTCACGGCCACCGCTCTGCGCTGCTCTCATACGGCGGTTACAGCCGATAACGCGTCCTGACTGCGTCCACCCTACGCTTCACTGTTAGCTCTGTTGTTTGCACAGTAAGCACTGTTAGCTGCAAGCTGCGGGCTCAGCCTTTCTAATGTTCAGAGCCTTGTGAGACAATCATGATGTTCCTCTAACTTGTATATAGCACAAAGTTGCATACTTCTTGAAGACACTTCTCAGCACATAAGTCTTTAAAATATGTGTTGCCAACGACACACGACAGAATTCCCATGCACACAGACACACAATTACACACACACCATTATAACATCAAATGACATCATAGATGGCAAACTAATGCCATGACATGTCTTATCCTGCTGCCTGCCTGTCCATCTCTCCATCAAGCAATCCCTTGTGCCAGACAGCCACTGAGCGGATAATACAGTCTGTCTCATCCCCATGGTGACCAGATCTTTCCCACACCAGGACGTTGGCTGGCTGTAGATCTAAAGATTGAAACGTTCATTGGCCTCTTGCGTCGACCATCTGATCTAACCACTGATGTCTTGGTTTGGGAATTAATTAGGACTGTGGAGGCTTCCGACACCACGAAGCACAGGTGGCTTTAGAAAGCTCTTTGCCATTTTTCACTGTTTGCATCTGTGTGCTTCAAAGTGAACGTGGACACACTGGCAGCGTGTTTTTGGTCGGAATTCATTTTCAGAGGAATTTGCTTTCAGGACATCGAGGCCAGCTCCACTATTTCTAATCATCTGTTCGAACGGAGGCCCTCCCTCCCGTTCGCTCTACCCCCTGCCCTCAATAAGGCAGCCTGCCCACAAAAACAAACAACCCCCTCGCCATGGGAAGGGGAAGCATGCTGGGCAATAAGAGAAATGCGCCCACGTAAACTAGAGAGGAAGAAATTAAATGAAAAGGGGCGCTTCCTTCCTCTCCTGCTCCCGTCTCTCCCGTCAGCTGCTTACTACCACAACTTGGGCTGAGGAGGAATCTGTGCAGGATTTTTGGTGGGGCCTTTCATCTGATAGATCCATCACGAAATATCTCCAAGTACTGAGGGGAAACATGAACATTTCCTGAGTGTGTGTTTGTGTACATGGACTTTGATCAGATTCCTGCCATTCAATCACTCTTCCTCTGATCTCTGCCTGCAAGCTGTATTCAGCAGCCAAACCTGTGACCTGTCTGAGAGCTGTGAAGTGCTATGCGGACATATGGAGGAGACGCGTAATTGATGTCAAGCCTCAAGGGGGTGGGCAGATGCTAACCAGAAGACGGGGACAAGGGCAAGGACAATAAGAATCACAATCACCTTACCCACAAAGTACAGGTTGATTTGGCAGCAATGGCTCTGAGTGTCACTATACATATTGATACAACAGAAGAGTGAAAACTTCACTATGGAAACTAAATATCATTCCACGTCAATTACAAACATGATATAGTGTTTGACATTAAGGGTTTATGAAGGATTAATGCAATGCATGCTGTCTGGATCTGAATCGTTGATATTGGTCATTTGAACTATTTCTTTCAGGGTGGAAAAAAACATGAACCACCTCAAAACTTCTGTCTAAAAGGAGATAACTATAAATAGTACTAATGATGCTAATACTACTAATTAAGAAGTAACAGGTAAAGAATAATCAAGTTACATTTTTAATTCAAATTAATTTAGATAATGTGCCTCATAAATTCTTCAATGAAATGTGTGTCTATGTAAAATGTTATGTCAGAGACTGTTTGCTAAATAGCAACCATTAGTTTCTCAAAGCAGTATGCATGGAGCTAGTAAGAGACATACTCTTGAGTGTACACTTGACAGAAAAGATTGTGACTTTCTTTTACGGTACATTTAGCTTTAACCTCTTTTAGAACGTTGTGTATGTTATTGCCATCAGGTTCATATTTAACATCCCTTTCACAGGGTCGTCATTGTTACCAAAATAAGGGGCGAGTAGTTAATCTGCCCCGTTATTATTCTGAGCTGCAATGTGCTGTGCACAAATGGAAAGCTTGAGAGGTGTGGCAAACAGTAACTCAGAGGAGCATGGATTATGTAAATGTATATACAGTATTATATATGTTATTTTAACGGTAAAATATGCAACCAATGTAGGCTACTGCAAACTCTATGTATGCATGCTGCTGAGCCACACATGCATTATACAAGGTTCCTCCAGTTTCTCACGAAGTCAAAAGTGTAAGAATGCAAGTGTTTGAGCTGTTTAAATGAACTGTAAAAAAAAGGGGGGGGGGGGGGACAGTAACGCAGTGCTCAAAAGGCCCTAGTTAAGTAGCTGACGGTGCAATAATACACAGGTGCTATCTCCATCTAGTCTGGCAGATTAGCAGGGGACCAGATATATAAATATAAAACCAGAGAGAGAGAGAGAGATAGAGAGGTGTGACTTCTATTAGAGTGCATCACCAAACAGTAGTTTACCGTTTGAGCAGAGAAAATAGCTCATAACAGCGTTCAGACGGAGAGAATACACTGTGGTGCATAGAACCAGCTGTAATACATCAGCATGTCAGACATTGGAGGTCTTGAACACATCACACCACACCAATGTCAGAAAAAGTGAAGCTATGAAGTCAAAATGACTTCTCATTTGACAAATGACCCTTTGTCAATTGGTCTAGTTCAGGGCCAAACAACCTTTTCTTCTAGGTCATGAGTTGGAACACCAGTACCCTGTCAGTGCAATTATTCGCCGCTTTATGAACAACCTGTGGGGTTCGAGCAGATGTCCAGGATCCCATGTCGGGTCATTAGATTAATTTTCAATCACAGTCATTTCCAATCCCCTTCACCTGCCTGGCCCCGCCATTATGGGGCATGGCTGGAATCTAATTTTGTCCTATCGCACAGGAAGAGCATTAGGAGCTGCTTATGTTGACGGTGTGCGCCATTGATTTTTATGAGTTGTGCAGGAATCATGGTTGCGAGCCACTGGGTGGTGAACATGATCTCTTAGGGGTGTGCGATTCACTGAACATAATCCGTGTGCAATTGGGTTCAGCACATGCAACATAACACACACACACAAATATGGGCATTAAAGTACAGTAGAGAGCCTGAATCATGTGGGGCATCAACTGATTTACAATAAGTCTCACATCACAGAGCTGTGTGGTTACAAGTCCCAGTGCTTGATGTTCATCCCTCACTGGTTCAGCTCCAGTTCTGTTGTCATCCATCCAAGACAATCACTGTAACCTTGCAAATGGATTATCACAAACCAATGATTAAATGTTCTCCCGTGGGTCTATGAGCCTTAAATCTTTGGCATACATCCTATTTCCTCACTGAGCAAGCTTATCTGTCATTTTATTCTACTGTCAAGAGCACATGCGTGTGTGTGTGTGTGTGTGGACAGCATTACATTGTTTCTGTCAGTATCCATTCTGCTTTGACCTCCAATGTGTCTCACCTGTTTGCCTGGGCGCTACATGGTCTACTCTGCTTATCTGCTGAATTTCCACCGCAGGCAAAGTTGGTAATTACTTTCCTTGGTTGCCATCATTTTAAAGCAATCCATCATCATCTGGAGCTCTTTGGCTATATAGAGCCCAGTGATGGTGGCAGGCATTGCTAACTGGTTAGCAGCGGAAAGGCTGCCAAAACACAAGCACTCGGTATGCAACTTGATTGAATTCCTCAGGAGCAAAATTACGGCATGCCTCGCCGGAATACCCGGCTCGCTCGCTCCCTCTCAATGTGTAGATCTGAATTGAAGGTGGCAAGTCTTAAAGTGCCCAGGAGCCAAGTTGGAAGAAGAACAGTTTAAGATTTAAGGGAAGGAATGAGGTGTACGTCGGTGGTGATAGCTATGGGGGGAGAAGAAAAAAGAAAAATCTGGAGATGGAAGAAACAAATATTTGAAAGAAAGATTACCGTCACAGCTGCAGAGAGCCGAGATGTGGAAAAGACAGAGTAAACAAGCTTGGTCTCTGGGGTGGTTGAGGGTGTTGTGGGGGAGAGAGAGAGAGAGAGAGAGAGAGAGAGAGAGAGAGAGAGAGAGAG